AGCTGCCCAGGAACCAGGCCCTGAGAAGGAGGCAGGGCAGGAGGGTGAGGAAGGGCTCTGTTCAGAATCAGGTGCTCAGCAGGCCTCCTTGGGAAGGTGGCGTTGAAGTCAAGACCAAGCAGAAGCGAGGAGGGTTCGAGTGGGAAAAACTTTCGGGTGAAAGGAGCAGTCAGGCCAAGGCCTGTGGTGCCTGCCTGCCTGGGGCAGCGGAGGCTGGAGGGACGAGCGGTGGGTCATGTAGATGTTGTCAGGAGGCCCTGGGGCAGGTGGTGTGAGGCCCTGGCAGGCGTCTGAGGCCTTGGCTGTGACTCCGAGTGAGGCGGGTGCCCGGGAGGGTCTTGAGCGGAGAGTAGACGGGCGGTTCCAGGCTGCCCTGGCTGTGGGGCGGGACAGCAGGGAGCTGGGCCCTGCACTGGGCCGGGCAGTGCGAGCAGAGGGGTGGGAATGGCCCCTGCAGGCAGTTCTGAAGGAGGCCTGGCGAGGTCTCGCTGGCACGGGCTGTGAGAGGATGCTCGACTCAGGCTGGTCAGCCCTCAAGTCCAGGTTCGGAAACGCTAGCTTGTGTGTCATCACTTCATAGTGGGGAAAGCAGGGAGCCCAGCCTGTAGGCAGCTAAGCCACAACCGTTCCCACCCTGGATGGCCTTTCTCTGGCCTTCCCTCTCCCCTCGCCACCGGGCTGAGCGCCCCACTTGCTTCAGGGAGGGTCTGATGCTGCTGTCCCCAGAGTCTGTGGCAGCGGTAGAGTCAGTCCCCGTGCTGACCGGGGGCGGGGGCGGGAGGGTGCCCTGTGTGAATGCCCGTGGCACTGGCCAGGGCAGTACCGCAGGCCTTGACCCCAAAATGGCACCGCTGGCTGAGCACCTGCTGAAGCTGCGCCACGCACAAGCTGCTGGCCCTTCCTTGAGGCGGTGTCCACTGGCCACCCTTCTGCAGTCGCCTGGGTCCCCCAGGGTCCACCCCCTCAAGGCAGACGGAAGGGCCACGTCAGGAAGATCAGAACTGTGTGTGACACCTGCCGGCCAAGTCCGGGCCTCAGTCTCCTGGAGGCGGAGAAGGAAGCGCATGGAACAGAGTGGCACCAGCAGGGACCGCGTGCGCAGACGCGGCTGAGGAGGCCTCCGCGTCATCCGCCTCCATCAGAGCATCTGCGCGGGGACAGGCGAGGAGCGCCCACCATCTTGGCGTCGCTGCCACCACAGCCTGCGGGAGGCCCTGGGAAGTGCCTGCTGGACCAGCAGCAGGTCCTCCAGGCAGTGCTGTGTGCGCACCCGCCAGGCCAGCTTCCGGAGGTGCTCTCCAGGGCGGGGCAGGCGGAGGAGGGTTCCTGGTGCCCGGAGAAGGTGCTCTCTTCCTGGTCAGCTGCACGGCCACCCTGACGTATTCCATGAGATGTGCACCGAGAAGAACGCCCAGCTCGGCTATGAGGTGTAGGTGTGCCCAGCAGCGGGCACACCCGGGCACTCGCAGACATAGGCAAACCCGAATCCTTGTGAATCAAGCCACAGACTGCCCTGGCCGAAGGCTGCAGGGGACAGCCCTGGGTTTTAAAAGTCATTTTCTGGGCCCGTCCTGATGGGGCAGGAGACAGCCATCCTGTTCGGAGTCACCTTTGGACTTCACGACGGTGCGGGCGGGCCTACCTCCGCCTGTGGTAAAAGTCACACGGAGCATAGCCCGGGGAGCGTGTCATACTCCTCACTTTAAAAATAAGTGTGTGTCCTTCTAATGTTGTTTTGGGTATTTTAAGGACCACGAGGAGTTTGATTTGAAATTACACAAGATCCCTGTTGTGGTAGTTTTTTTAAAAACAAAGTGTTCTGTGATTGCCCGGCCCAGCCTCACGTCTGTTATAGGCCCGCCTTTTCCCTCTGTCGTTTTTCAAACAGCACTTTTTAAAAATATATACATTTTAAAAATTTTATTTTTAGTGACAGGAGAAGGGAGAAGAGAGAGAAAGAAACATCGATGTGAGAGTGGAGCGTCGATCGGCTGCTCTGCACCCGAGAGGGAGCCGCCCCGGGCACGTGCCCAACTGGGGATCGAGCTAGGGCAGTGCCCTTTTCTTAATCCTCACCTAGGGAGGTGTTTTTATTGACTTTAGAGAGAGGAAGGGAGAGGGAGAGAGAGAAAAACATTGATAGGAGAGAGAAACATCAATTGGTTGCCTCCCGTCCGCACCCTGACCGTGAATGGAACCCGCAGCCTGTTGGTGTACAGGGTGATGCTCCAACCAATGTGCCTCCCAGCCAGGCCCAGGCAGTTCTCTTAAAGCAGAAAACAAGCAGCAAGTCTCAATGGCCGCCACCCAGGGACTTGACGTTAAAGTCGCCAGGCACAGATCACTGCCCGGAGGTGACCGGCGTGGCCCCCTTCTGCACCATTATTTCTTCAGGGGCAGCTTTTGCAACCTAATCCCTTGCTGACCGGTCACAAGTATACTCGTGTCTCCGTGTCTGAACATTGTTGACTGGTCACAAGTTAACTTGTGTCTTTTTCTCTACTCGTCCATCAGTATTTCCAGAAATGGGACGAGCAATCCATCTAATCCTTCCATCCGTCTTTCATTATGGGAAAGGTTTCAAAAAGATGAGTCGCGGCAGAGAACGTGTGGGCGAGCTCTGTGCAGACCCTGCGACCAGCTGGCCGGTGACCGGTGACCATGTCTCGCTGGAAGGCGGCGCTGCTGGGAGAGAGCGATGAGCCCGGCGTCCGCGCGCACGGAGGCAGAGAGGACTGCGGGCGGCCGCCGGCGCTGGGGAGAATGGGCAGGAGGAGACGCTCCGCCGCCTTGGAGACGAGGCAGACATTTCAGCGCAGCTGTTCAGTGTGGAGACCCACACAGTGTAGGTGAAGTAACCAACTTTTTTTGATAAAGATTTTTTCAATCTGTTACTTCTCACACCAATTTACACCATCGCCACATGGGAAAATGCCACAGAACCTCTGCTAGCTCTTCATCGTGGACACGTTGCTTATACAGATACAGAGAAGTTTCTCGGTTTAATTATGTTGAAGGGACTAAGGAAGAAGCCAGATGGAGAGATGACTGGTCATCCGATCCTTTCCTTGAATCGCCCATATTTCCAAAAACCATGACTGGAAAGAGGTTGGAGGGAACACGGACATTCTCTCATCCGAACGATGATTCACAACATGTAAGGGACCGTCTTCACCAAGTCCGGCCCCATTGGACCACTTCACCTCTGAACTTAATGTTTATACACCAAACAGCGGCTCCCACTCAAGGGAGCAGGGACTCCAAGGAGAGCGTGCTTCGGCTGCGAGGTGTGTGATCGCAGCAGCAGTGACGGCGGGATTTTAGTGCAGACACTTGTGAACGCGGGAGTGGCTGGAAGTGCAAACTCGAGAGATACGGGTGAAGGCAGAAAGTTACAACAGACTGTGTTATCCGTCGTAGGGCCTTTTCTTGGTTCTTGACATCATATTCACCAAGGTAATTACTACAACAGTGTCTGCAGCTGAGCTGTTACTGAGGCACAAAGCCCTAGGCCGTGGAAGAATGAGAGAGAGCCACGGGTGCCACCACAACAAACAGAAACGTCGCCAGCCCACGGGGCGCGTTCTGGCCTGACACAGCTGGTCAGCAAGGTGCTGAGAAACTGCCTCCACATGTATTCTCTCCAGGGGAGACCCCGAGCCCCGCCCCCCTGCCAACCCCCGAAACCCTTTGCTGCCTCAGTGTCCTTCCTGGCATCAACAAGAGCTGTGTGCTGCAGGTGTGAAGGTGACTAGGGGACCCCACAATTGATGTGTGTGAAAAACCCAATGAGAAGCAGCTGGTGGTTTTTATGTAGAAACTAAATCATTCTCAGTAAATAAATCTCTGTTTTGGAAACTAAAAGGAAGGTTCATCTGTGGCCCTAGAATCCTGGAGCTCCCACGGCCTCCCACCCCACTTGCAGATGGGAAGTCAGAGGTCACAGGGTCGGCTGCCTCTGGCCTCCCTCTGCCCCCACAGCTGTTGCGTTCAGATCCCTGGAGACCAGGTCCCTGCGTGAACCATGCGGCTGCCCCAGGAAGCCCTGGGCTCATAGCACCATGATAGCCCCTGGGGCCGCCCATGCAGGGCCAGGGAGGTGCCTGGTGTGGCAAGAGGACCAACCAGTAGCTCTCCTGGGTAATCCAGGGTCTGCCTTCATGTGCTTCCCCACTGTGTTGGCTGGTCCCCGGAGTTTTCCCAAGCCGCAGCCCCCTCTGCCTAACCTCTGAGCCACCACCCTGTGGCCCCTCCCCAACCAGGCTCTGCGTGTGGAGAAGCCCCACATGCCAGCCAGGTGTTCCCGGGGTCTGCTCCCTGCTCCTGTACCTACTTGTGCTGCTTAGCCTTCTCACTCCCAGAGGGAACAGAAGCCCTGCCTACTCTCCCATCTGTCCAGTGGGCATGCTGACCCGCCGGCCACCTCTCAGCACTGAGATGTGTTGGGGTCCAGCCCCAGCAGGTCCAGGGGTTCCCGAAGGTGTGGACAGAGTCGGCGAAGAAGGAAGGACACAGAGGCAGAGTTCAATTGATCAGCATAGCCAGGTTCTCTAGCCAGGTTCCCAGCAGGTCCAGGTTCCCGAAGGTGTGGACAGAGTCGGCGAAGAAGGAAGGACACAGAGGCAGAGTTCAATTGATCAGCATAGCCAGGTTCTCTAGCCAGGTTCTCTTTATTCTCCTGTTACATCTGTATTTATACCAGTTGATGTTAGTCCTATCCATTCTCTTCCAAAGGTTAGGGCATTTGTTATCTCCATTCCAAGGTCACTACTCTACTATTCTGTTAAACTACAAGGAAGTAACTGAAGGAGATTATCCTAAGTAAAGATTATGTAGCTTAAGTGTGATTGTTCATAGTTAAAGTGATTAACTAAC